GCCACTGCACACTTCATTTTGCTTTGCAATGTCTCAATAATTGTTTAAAACCACCCAGAAATATTAACGCACAAATATTAAAATTGTTATTTGGTTTTTTCAAATGCTTACAATCAACAATTGCACCAAGATGACGTCACGCACACAGCTAATTCTGTCAAAATCACAAAGAGCGGATTAGCGGTACCGGGATGGGCGCAATCTCTGTTTCTCTCAATCGTGACTTACTGGCAAACAGTGTTGCCAAACATGGGCTTTTCCTACCAAAACTGGTTGGTTGCTTTGCATTTGGTACGTTGGTAGGCTTGGTGGAATTTTGGTAGGTTCCGTAATAGTTATTTGTGAAAAATAGAAAATAAGTATTTCCAAACTTTCTAGCAACCTTTTTTGCACAAATATTTCACCGGTGCGTTCGTATAACGGTGGCCGCAAACATGTTAATAAACCTGATTTCTAAGTACAAACGTATACCCTGGACCAAGAAAAGTCTGCCAATTGGCTCGTACCCAACCATATTCCAGGCGGAGGTCTTCACAATCGAAGTCTGTGTTCGCGAATGTCATCGTAGAAGGCAAATCAGGCCAGGATATATATTATATCAGATATCTAGGCAGCGTTAAAGCCCTTAGGACCGGTTGCTCAAAGCCTGGTTGACACTAATACCCGGTTAAACATCGTTATCGAGGTTACCGACACCGTGTTATATGCATTGAGTCGAAAACGTTGATAACGATAATAACCGATGATTAGTGTCGACCAGGCTTTGAGCAACCGGCCCTTAGACTCTTCTAAAACGACATCAAGGCTTGAGATCTCTTGAACCACCTGGGAGCCCACAATAGCGTAACGCAGTGGTGGGTTCCGGGACATGAAAAGTTTGAAGGTACCGAAAGGGCTGACTGTCTCGCAAAACGTAGAGACAAAGTACCGCTTGCATGGTCCCGAGCTATTCTGTGCTACATCTAAAGGGTACACTGCAGAACTACTTAGGAGCTAGCTGGGAATAATCTGAGATTACTGCCTACTGGCGGAAGTAAAAGGGAATACGACAATCAATTCATAACTCCTTCCAGGGAGAACTCCGAAGTACCATTTGAATTATATGGGTCTTTCTGTAGAGACCGACTGTAGGTTTTGTGGGCTGGTGGAGGAAACCCAGTATATTCTATATGCCTTCCCAAGAAGCATGAATCGTAAATTGATACACCTCGGAGAAAAATTGTCTTCTCCATCTAAAAGTTGGAACATGGCATCATCCAAGCGCTTAGCTTTTTAAATAGCCTAAGATTGGAGTGATTACAATTAATATATTAACTTAGATCGCAGCGGGAGTATCTCCGAAGTAATTATAATAATAATATCGTCACTAGACACGAGTAAAGACGGGCGGTTGTGGCGCAGAAAAAGGACGCGTGAAAAAAATTTACGAAAAGACACTTGAAAAAACTTCGGCGAAGAAAGACGTGTAAACATGGATTCAACATCATTCCGGAAAGACCCTTTGGGGAATTCGTATACCGTTACTCGTAAACATAGTTCCCCGTCAAAGAGGTTAACGCGTTTTTCTTTGCCGTCACCTATGTTAAGAGTCTTTCTTCGCCGAAGTTTTTTTACGCGTCTTTTTTCGCGTCTTTATTCGTATCTAGTGACGATATGTGCTATGTATGTGCAAAGAGACATACATTTGGATAAGTCTGTACAGTAAAATGAATTGTTATACGCAGTTAATTTGTTTTTATTGTTTATATTATCTATATTTTTAATAAACTTGACATTGAAAAATTATATTAAACACTCAAAGAAATGTTTGGTAGGTTTTGGTTGGTTATGGTAGGAAATTTTGGTAGGAAAAAAAATTTGACTGTGGCAACACTGCTGGTAAACAAGAAAACAGTACAAAACTCCACGTCACACGGAGCAGACGTGTAATCAATGTTTGTATTTAGTGTTTAATTATTGTAATGTAAATTGTTATATTATATGTTTATATCGTCGTTTAAAGTACAAACCCGCGTATCAACAAAATGCCAAACCGCGTATCAAGGTAATGCAAAACCGCGTATGTAAGGTTGCATACATTTTTTTCTAGAGAGTAAAAACACTCATATTTCAAAATGGTTCTCTTTTTTATAAAGCAATCGCATTTCTTGCTAGTAGGTATTTCAGGGCGAATGGATAAGAATTGCTCCAAGAGCTTGTGTGAGCAAATCCAATTTTTGGCGATATGTATTTTATGTTTTTGTTGTCAATAGTTGCCCTGAAGACGGTTACCGCGGCGTAACCGAAATATATTGGAAAAAATTAAAATCATTTAAGGTATTCACAGTTTACTTTTAAAGTTAAAAAAAGGTAACTTGTAACTAGATAATGGTGTTATCTCTAATTAGCATGGGAACCAACAACAAACAAAGTTACCACATGGTAAAATGTTTTAAAGTTACCAGGTGGCAAAATTAACACAGTAGATAATATAGAACTGTGAGTACCCTAATTGTGTTTTAATTAAAAAAAATTCTAAAACCATTTGACCTCGAGCCAGCACAATTAACAAATTATGAATTAACCCATAATTAGGCGCATGGGGTCAAGTTGAAAACAAATGTCTTGGAGTGCTTGGAGTGTGCTTGCTCTCTTTCTAGCTTTCTAACTCGACGCGGGGTACGTAAATAAGGCACTGCCAGAACTTCGGCGTGTACGCATGTGTCGCTACTCTTTTAAGTCCTGGCCCCATGCCACCACTTACGGAACATTTTTTGGCGGATGTAAGTTTTTATTTTACAACGCTTTTATCAATTTCCAATGTTGTTTTTCCAGTAGGGTGGTCCAAAAATGTCTGTGAAAATATAAAGTCAGAATTTGTATGCTCTCACCCCATAGGATTGTTCTATACCGAAAAAATATACCCTTATTTTTTTATTTTGAAATGAAAAAATATTTAGAGGTCGCTCAAAGCGCCCAAAGTTTTCCATGTATTTTACATGGAAACAACTTTTCGTGGAAATGGTATGCAAGAAAAAAATATCAATATTTTTCTACCAGAAAACTCTGCTTATCGTCAGGAGGTTCCCAATAATAATACCCAATTGTTTATGTAAACATTTATCATCGCAACTATAATTTAAGGGTCCGCCAAAAACTCACAAAAACCCCGAAAAATGCAATGGGGCGCCAATAAAAAATCGTTTATATTAAAAAATGGTTAAATAAGCAATTGGGTACTATTATTGAAAGTCTCCTGAAGAGAACCAGAGTTTTTCGATCGAAAAATATTGATTTTCAAGAATTCTATACCATTTCAACGAAAAATTTTATTTTTCCCATATAAATATACATGAAAAACTTTAGGCACTTTGAGCGACCTCTAAATATTTTTTGATTTCAAAATAAAAAAATAAGGGTATACCTGTTTTCGATATAGAACAATCCTAGGGGGTGAGAGCGGTAAAATTCCTACTTTACTATTTTTGAACCACCCTAGTGTCCAGACACCACTTTTAGCTATAATTATAGATTACAATCAAAATTCCTATACAAAAGTATAGACATCAACCTCGACGGTAGGCCTTGCCGGAAGTAGTTAAATATTGCGCCTAAAAATATGCACCACATACGCTACAGTGGAAATGGACGACAAGCCATTTCTTTAAATGAAATCAATTGGTGCTCGTATGTATGGGCCTGTTCGGGGTACGTAATAAAATACTGTTGCAACTTGTCAACTAATAAAACGTTGCGGTAAATTCACAACGAACGTGATACTTTAATAATTCGCGCAACAGTGCGGTTGTGATTGCATCTCGATCAAGCCCTATGTATGTACATATGCATTGAGTTTAGCTTGCATATGCACAAAATAAACCACACAAATATTTGCGCAAATACCAACTTTTACAAATAAGAATCTTATTTGTACTAATTTGCATTTGTGCAAATATTTGTGTGGTGTATTTTGCGCAATGGTATTCTGTTCTCTTTTCAATGCAAGTTAAATTATTTTAATATCTGTTGCTAAATTTTATAGAGAAAAGACTAAAAAGTAGAAAATAAATAAAATAAAAAAAGTTTTAATATACCATGCTTCTGTAAATGGACTTAAAAGTAGAAAATAATATTTCTCAGTTCCATAGAATTTGTTTTGATAACGTTTGATTTTTAAGTTTTAGCAAAAGTCATTATAAAGAATTTGTAAGATTGAAAATGAAAAGCGGGGCGCATGTAATAGACTTGAATTGATATGAAAAGTAATATATGTATGTATGCATGTGGGTATATTAATAACGGCCGCTTAAAGTCGATCTCAAATTTGTACTTTCGCTGTAGAAATTTTAGGTCTATGTTATGTAGTTTGACTATTGTCAATTAAATCTAATGCTTTGTATTGCATGATTCCTCGCCGCAATAAGTTAATATTGCGCCTATGCACTACATATGCTACAGCGGAAATGGACGACACGCCATTTCTTTAAATGAAATTAATTGGTGCTCGTATGTAGTATGTACATACATATGTATATGCATGTGTGTGCACCAATCTATTAATATCGTTGAATTATTTTAATATCTACACTCTAAAAAGTGCATGTAAAACTACTACTGAAAAGTGTTTATTTTTCAACCAGAATCTGTTCAAGTGAACGCACAAGATGTTCAAGATTTGATTTTGAATATGAGTTGTTTAAAATATACAAGTGAAATGTTTAAAATTACAAACATTTTGAAAGTAAAAATATATTTTTTACAAATAATAAATACTAAGTGCCAGGGGCGCACGCAGGAATATATTTTTGGGGGGAAAGGGTTTATACTTCTAAATATATATCATCAGCAAATACTGAAAATTCGGTCTTTAAAATACATTTATGAAAGTTTTATTTACAGTATGAAATAAATAAATAAACTTTTTAAAGTATCATCAATTGCATTTTATTTACATAAAATTTTCAAAGAACTCGGACATTTTTAACCGGGTTCAAAAAAGGGGAGGTTATCAATTCTTCGGAGTATTTTTACTTCTTTTATTTATTCCACCGCATAACTTTGCACCGCGTGAACCGATTCCAATAATTATTTTTTTTACCGGAAAGATGGTACCTTAAGGGTCGTCTCGTAATTTGGTTTAGATCCGATCATTAAATCATGAAAAAATTAACGGTTAAAGATGCACTCAACTTTCAAAAGTAATACAAAATTTTACAAAATAATTTTAATATAAATAAATTAAATAATTTCACGAAATTTTTACACTTTTTTATTAATTTTCGTCGATTTCTGGTTTCTCATTTTTTAATAATTCAAATAACGAGAATTTAACTGAACTTGTATTTTTATCATGTAGCTCATTTTGGTTGGAACGAATTCGAAGTTAGCAAATTAAATCTTCGAATGCTTATTAAGTACATATCAGTGGTAAACTTTTTTAGGCTGTAAAGTGTAAAAAGCAACAGTAGGTGAGTATGCATTGCATATTTTTAGGACAATGTTTTCATTCGCAGTTAAACTTTAAAGAGCTCTCAAGAAAAAAAGAAAAATTCTTACAAAATGACGCACAAGAAATGGAAAAGAAAATTTTTTCTTTCAAAATTTCTTATATCATAATAAATTTAGCCCCAAAACCCACCCCTTGTGTGCGCTACGTGACAAATTTGATATGTAAAAGTAAACAGACATTGTTTAATTTTGCACACACTAGGAGAGGAAACTGGTTACCTCTCTTTATATGCGTAAATTTAAACGAAAATTTTTTAGAGGAAATTTTAAACATTTTATGTGTAAACTGTGAAAATGTGAACAATAAATGTTTAAAACTCAAAAAACAAATTTGAAATTTGTTCTATGCCACACATATGATAAGTAAAAGTAAGCAAGCAGTGTTTAAATTTGCATTCATTAAGAGAGGAAACTGGTTACTTATCTTAATATGCGCAAATTTAAACAAAATTTTTTAGAGTGTTTTGCAAAATACAGACAAGACTAAAAAGTAGAAAATAAATAAAACAAAAAAAAACTTTTATAAATGGACTAAAAAGTATAAAATAACATTTCACAGTCCCACAGAATTTGTTTTGATAACTTTTGATTTTGAAATTTTAGCAAAAGTCATTATAAACAATTTATGTGATTGAAAATGAAAAGCGTGGGGCGCATGTAATAGACTTGAATTGATATGAGAAGTAATATATGTATGTATGTACATACGGGGGTATATGAATAAAGATCGCTTAAAATATAACTATGCCAAACCCCTTCTGCTCCATTTATTGAGTTGTGGGAGTGGTCGGTATTGTGCACTTCTAACATTTCTTCAAATAATACATTAATTAGACACGCACATATTTTGTCTGCAATTTCGATCACCATTGAACACTGCACTTCACTCTCGTTTCGACTTTTTTTAAAGCGTTTTTACAGCTATCTAGTGGTTTAAGACTTCTTGAGGGCAATTGATTTATAAAAAAAATATGCACAATTCGATCCCTAACTACATACATATATATTTTTGTAAAGAACTCCCGTTTGCTTTAAATTTGTAAAATTACAATTATTTTTTATTTTGTTTACATCTGTCAATTGTTACAAATAAAGACAAGCCTAAGAGTTGTCAAATATAAATATTTTTATATTTATTCATTAAAATAATAATTTATTTAATTAATACTTTATTAAAACACAAATTTGAAGTCCAAATACATTTGTAAAACTATTTATCACAAAATGTTATTAATTGTTTGCAAGCGTACTACAGTTTTAATGCCTTTTTGAGAACAAGTAAGGGAATATGTATAGATATCAGGGATGTTGCGAATATTTGCATTCGCGTTCGTTATGCGAATGATTCGCATCATTTTACATATTCGCATTCGACATTCGCATTCGTAACAAATGATACGAATGTTTTGCGAATGCGAATGTGTACATGGGCAGAGAGTCCACTCTAATCTTGTTGAAATGGCTCTAAGTCTGTCTAACCAGGGTGCGGACAATAACCGGTGTGGAGGCCAGGGTTACCACTGAAATTTCTTTCTTTCCTACCAAGAGCTGTTTCAAAAACCTACCAAAATGGATTCTTTCCTACCATTTATTTTAATCAAGAAACCGGCGTTTGACAGCATCAAATACATTTATTTTTGCGAATTTTTTACTTAAAATGATATTTCCAGATAAACAAAAAGTTCAGGATAATAACTATATTATATACAGGGTGTCCCAGAAGTAACCTGCCAAACTTTAGGGGAGGGTAGGTGGGGGGGGTGAGCTCTCTGATAAACACAAAATTTTCAGGTAAAAGTGTTAACGTTATTGAAATATTTAAATTTTTTTTAATTACAAAAAAAATCGTGCCTTTTCATGTATTTTCTTTAACTGCATCTACAAGCCAGGCTATACATACTTAGTAAATTATTTAAGTAAAATACTTCCAGATAGTTGCTTCTCCATACTCAAATGCAATGTAGTTAAAATATATTAAGGAACCATCATAAAATTAGGACTATTTTGGGACTTTTAACTTTTTGATATTTTCTTCCCCAAATTTGACTATCTCTGGTGAAAAAAAAAATGTACCGAGCTGTAACTTTACATTACATAAAAAAATGCTCATTTAACCCTCATCCTGTACTTTGGGCAAATTTTGCCCAGTCGTATATTTAAGGTCGGTTATTTCGAGTATTTCCATAATATCAATGTGAAACTTTTTAACAATAATTTATTTGCCGATATATAGCTGTATTGCGAAAATAAAAATTGTACGCTACCTAGGGCAACCCCTACAAAAAAAAATAACTAATCCTGTATTTTGGGTAAATTTTGCCCAATGTAATTTGTAATGATTTTGTGCATACAAAACAGCAAGAGCCGCATAAAACGATCGTGTTTTTCCGAAATTCCAAGATAAAATCTGACATTGGTTTTTTCGATTTCCAGTTCGGGAAATTCCGCCTAAAATTTTAATGAGTAGTGTATAACAGACGACACGCGACAGTGTGATTTTGTTCTTCGTAAGAGCCTAGTCGCTGTGTTTCGCGAAGTGTTATACTTAGTAAAGGGAAAGTATATTTCAAAAGGGTAACTAGGTATATAATTCAAGATTTAATTACATACAAAAGTTTAAATTTCATTAGGTGGTAGTAATAAAGCGTTGGCAGATAGAGGAGCTATTGGGCGAATCAAAGAGTTAGACTGAAAGCAATGTAGGAGTTGATGAAAGTTCCGATCAGGAATTTGAAATTTCTCCAAATGATGGATCAGAAACATATGTGAACATATCACGAGAAAGTGTTTGCTCTGACGACTAACTATTTGCATCTCCTGTAGAACAGGAAAAATAATATTTTAGTTTTATCCCAAAGACAAAAAATATGTGTGGCATGACAAACCCAATAGATCGTTGATAGGTAGGAATACGGCTGAAAACGTGATTACTACCACTCCAGGAGTAACTTTATATACTTTAGCTCGCCTTACTGACATTAAGTCTTCGTTCCATTTATTCATGACAATAGATATGCAAAACGTAATTATAGAAATGACGAATATTGAAGCAAAATATTTACAATTTTCTTCCATACACGTATGTATGTATGTATGAATGTATGTTCGTTTGTAAAAGTATTATTCACTATTATATGCAGAAACATTTTTGGGGAGGCCCGGGAAAAAATAAATTACACATCCTTGAATGCATATTTCGGATTGATATTATTAGCTGACGTTTATCGTTCCTGTCGTGCAGCATTGGATGTTTATGGGGCAACGTGAAAGGAAACCCCGTATTCAAATCAACAATGTCATTGCGAAGATTTCAAAATATTAGTCGGGTTCTTTGATTCGATAATAAGGTAATAAAACGAAAGAAGGGGTAGACATACTGGACCAACTTGTCGGAATATACACCTGTACGGGGAAGACCACTAGATGGCCAATAGGTGGTGCTAATATCCTTGATATTTCCACATGCACTACTCTTATAATTTGGGCGGCTGTAAATCCTAAGTGGAACAAAAATTAGCATTTCCGACGCAGACTTTTTCTGGAACAATTGCGGTTTGATCTTTTGAAGAATGAAAGGGTAGAACGAACATCGCAGCCACATAGTTATGTTAAAAGATACTTGCACGGACGCAAAAAGAGAAAACACCGCAGAATGCGCGGTAAAACTTTTGCAAAAGTATACCAAATAGCATTAAGTACACTACACAATATAACAACTGTAATTCATTTGTTTGTAAAAAAACACTCAAAGACTGTAATCACTTGTAATATTTGCGCAAAAATTTAATAAAACTATATTGGGCAAAATTTGCCCAAAATACAGGATTGGTTACTTTTTTTTATTACAGGATGAGGGTTAATAAATATTTCAGAAAGGTGCCACTCTTACTGTTTCGAATAGAAAAAAAAAGTTATAGCCGCTTTTGTGGGCAAAGGACTGAGACACGCTAGAATGTATTTAATAGATCTAAATTTAAGTTGCTCTTGTTATCGACCAATGACATGCTAAATAGTACAAAGGTACATTATTACCTGTTCCTGATATTATTTTATGTTACTTACCGGAATTCGGCCTAGAGACTATAACAAGGGCTACATCTATCAATATTTTTTGTGAAGGATGGGTTCACGTGAAATAAAATATACATGATTTGTTTGAAGAAAAATGTATTCATTTATTGATCAAATATGCTCATATTGGCGACCTTCTACTCTAATACAAGCTCGTAACCTTTTAAGAAAAGACGCTTTTAGAGATCTTAAACTCAATTGGGCTATCTCAGCAGCAGCTCCATTTATTTGTTCCCGCAAATGCTCTTCGTTTTGAATTGTTTTTGAATAAATTTTGTCCTTAAGACAGCCCCAGTAGAAAAAATCTAATGGATTCAGGTCTGGCGATCGAGCGGGCCACGTGATTGGCCCGTATCGTCCAATCCATCGGCGAGGATAAGTTTCGTCTAAATGCCCTCTTACTTCACGCCCGTAGTGAGCAGGGCACCCGTCATTTTGCAGCCATAGT